TATCTTCAACCCACTTCTTTCACTTTCAAGCACCTTTATAGATTATCAACAATAAGGCATTTCTATTCAAGACTTTAGGTACACATATGTGCAATTAAGAGTCTTAAGCATATCGAGTTTTTCTCACACTATTTGACATCATAACCTTCATTTGAAACATGACTCAAAACCATAACATTTTAATACACATATCATTCTTGATCATGTTCACGAAGGATAACATAATGTGTTAGGAGTAATTAGAACACATTTTGAATACATACATATTTCGACGCTTTGCTTACTCGAGATAATCGAATTTATTAGGAACAACTCGGAACATGGGAATTAGGAACTTGAGCCAACCATACTTGAAACTTACCGGAACTTTATGGAATTCGATTCTAAGAGAGAAGTTTGGCCAACCTACATCGATTTGAGCTTTCTTTAAAATACTATAATGTTCCAAAAATCCTAGTAATTCCAATCTATTTCGAGACATAACAAAATTGAACACAAATTAGGAAAATATTTAGGGTGTCAGCTCATTTGAGCATTTTATCAAATTCTTAATGTGCAAATTTGATTACACGATTCTCTTACAAGATTTCCTTCACTCTACAACCCAATATTTATCCATTTGAGCTCAAAAATCTTCCCACAAACCTTATTGGTACATGCATGTATAAATAATAATCTTACACCCAAGAATCACACTCCCAATTAACCATCTGCCACCCAAATCCAAAATGGAAAACTAGGGTATGGAACCTTACTTCTTAGATGAAGAACTTGTTAGCTTTCTTGTTGAATTTCAAGGCTTGAGCAAGATTTAGATGAACAAGGGCTTGAGAATTCCTCCTCTCACTCTAGGGCACTTTCACCTCTCTAAAATATCAGTTATTCCTTTTAACAATGGTCCCTTACGTCTATTTAAAGATATAGGGTCGAGTTATAAAGATAGAAGAATGGACCCTCCAAATTCCGGACCAGGCTACAGACTAGTCTAGGCAGACTAGGCTTCGCGAGCTCTGTAGCGAGCTACAGACCAGGCTTCGCGAGCTCTGTAGCGAGGTCTAGCGTGCTACAGACCTGACTTCACGAGGGATATAGCACGGTCTAGCGCGCTACAAGCTGGGCGATGCGATATTGAAAAATTTTAACTCCCCAACGCACTGTTCAACCCAAAAACTCCAAAAATACAATTCATTAGCCTATCTTGGCACCACGGAACCTTAAATTACTTAGCAAAATTTTCCGAGGCCTTACAAATATTTTCGGCAATTCTCGAGGCAATCATGACCACGATTTTCGCCATATATATCTTTACTTATACTCATCATTTTACCTCTTTCAATTCCAAAACTTTCATAAGTTTATCATCTTCTCTGCATTCAACCTCCTCCTGCTTAGAAAACTTTCATATTTTCTAGTTTTCTCTAAAACATTTTACTGTCTTTTTACAACCATGGCATCTTCTACTGAACCTTTTAGAAACTCTAGTCTTCTCTTCGGTGGAGGCCTGAAGAGAAACAAGGACAAAGAAACAGATGTTGATTCTGAGCCTCCTACTGTAAGAACCATCATACCCAAACACCTGAGCACCGCCAATGACTTTCAACAGAAGTTTCCATCCCCGTCCCCACGGACTTGGGCCGTTAGCAGGTACCCTTTCTTTATTCCCCCTTCCAGTATTCCTACTATGAAGGAGGACTGCAACTGGACAAACCTTCACATCCTTGCTCTGAATATGATAGACGGGTTACCTTCACCAAGGAAGGTTTTACATATGTCTATACGTATCCCTTCATCTTGGGTCCATTTTCCTTAAGCGAAAGGCTCGACCCTGTGATTTTGGAGTTTTGCTACAAGTACCAGGTCTGTCTAGCACATGTAGGCCCATCTATATGTAAATAGTGGCTTTCCTATGGTAGTTATGCTTGGAGAATAGGAAAACTCTAACTCTGGCACATATGATGAATCTCTACTCTCCCAAAATCTTCCGTGTGGGGGGAGGGGTAAAAAATTTCAGAAAACGTGGCCACCACACCCTTCTCACCAGCATGGATGATAACAGTGACCTTGGATGAATGGAGCGGTTTTTCATCATCGCTACCAGGGGTATCCTCCCGGCTATAACTCCATTTTTTCTAGAATCATGGAACCGTTATCGTAAGTTTGTAATTTATTCATCTCTTTTCTTAGTAAAAAGATTATTTTCCATTAATGTTGACCTTTTAGTTTTTGTTATTCTAGCTGCCCGATTGGAACCACCACGGGTTCAAGGTCTAGACCAGTGTTTCAAAAGATTCTGGATATTACTACACCAAAAATTTGCCGGTGGAAGGAAATGGTCCCCAAATATGGGTGGAAGGCCAAGAACCATGGTAAACAAAGTCTTTTTTTCCTTTAGTCTTTGTATGAACACAAGTAGCCTTTGCTAACTCTGCTTTTTTGCTTGATTCAGGACTCCCGCATGGCTCTGTCACCTGCCCCGAGGTTGATGTTTTGGCTTACCCCACGGAGGTCGCGAGAGTGCTATAAAGTGCCCTTGCTCTAAGCAGTGCCCGTGGATCTACTTCCGATGGAGGTGCTTCCTCTCGGAGTCCCCATCCAGAGAACAGACAACCAAAAAGGCGACGTCTTCCTCGACTGAGACTCAAAATAAGAAAATAAAGAAGGCCATGACCGAGTCGACCATAGTCACAGTGGTCATTGAAGATGAAGGGGAAGCTAGTGATGAAGAGGATTCCCTTCAAAGGAGAAAACAATCTTAATCAGCTCAACCGGGAGAGCTTCAAACCCCGACCGAAGGTGAGGTCCAAGCACTTTGGGGTAAAATGGAGATAGTAGAGGATGTCAATTCTCACTTTTCGACCTCTATTGCTATTTCTGGTCCCAAGAGCTCGGACCTCGGGCCTCTTCTACCTTCGGACACTGAGCATCCAATAATCAACGTTGCTCCTGTTGTAGCTGCTTATCAACCTTCAATGCCAACCACTTCATGCCCCTCTACACCAGTTGCACCTTCACCATCAACACCTATTGTATCTCCTCCATTGGCAACATATGCTCGAGAGAAGAATGGCTCTCCTCTCAAGTCTCCCGATCATGGGAATTTGGGGCACAATTACTCACCCCCTTCCCCAGATCCCCGAGGGAGGAGGAGTGTTACTCTTTCAATTTCGAAGGAGTGCCATCTACTGTCCTGACCGATGGAGCTTTCCAACTACTTGAAGCCACTGGCTTCAAAGAAAGATAGGAATAAAATATGCTCCCATTCGAGAGAGTGTTTGTTGAATAACGCAATGCATAATGTGGCAGCGGTACTATATTTGCTTCATTTGTTTTTTGTTTTTCTGCGGTAACGGGATTTGTAACCTTGATATTCTTTGTACAGGCCAACTTCCTTTCTTCTGAGGGCTTGCAGAATTGATTCTCGATAACCAAGGACTCGCCTACGAACGAGATCAACTGTTGGGCGAACGGGATCAACTTGTTGTGCCTCCCGGTGTTGGAGGCAAAAGATGCTGAGGCGGGCAAGCTTAAAGCCTGGTTGCAGCAAAGCAAACAAGAAGTGATGGCCCATAGCCAATAAGCCACTCAATTACATGCACAACTCCAAGATGCTAAGGCTAGTTGGGTTGATCTTCAAGATATCATTCTTGCTGCTGTCGAGCATGAGTATTCCACTAAGGAACAAGTGAATAACATGAAGGCAACCTTGAGCTCCAAGACCGAGGAGGCCAATGTCGCCGAGGAGAAAAGAGCCAAAATGGAAGAGAGATTTAAGAAGATCATGGAGCAAAATTGGATTGTCTATCTACAACTCGTGATCTTGATACTAGCCTCGGTGTCGTGAGATTCGAGTGGGACAGCCTTCAGGACAAGGTTGACAGAATTAAGGAAAAGCTTCAATTCTAAGAGGAATCCCTCGCATTTGAGAATACATATTCTATGTATCATATGATGAGAAAAAACTTGGAGGAGTCTAAAGAGGGCATCGTCGATATTGATAATTGCATTGCCGAGGCCTGAGAACTGGAGCTAACTGCTCGAGAACATCTCCCTACTCAGCCTGCTGCAATCGACTCTATAAGTACTGGTTCCGAGTATTCTGGAACCGAGGATGTAATTGAAGAGACTAATGATGAAGGTCCAGGCTTCGAACCGGCAGCTGATCCATCCTCTTATACCGGGGGGTGGGGCAGGGGGAGTGGGGAAGAAGCCTCTCTCTCCCATGGCTCAGGAGATGATAACGCTTAGATTTTGTTTCTTTTTTTTTCTTGTACTTTTGTAATTATGCCAAACCTTTCATCGGGTTTCGTATTTTGATAAATGAAGACAATTTTTGCTTAAGTATTATGCAAAATATATTCTTTCTTCGTCGAATTAGATAAAGCTTCGGGTATATTTTCGTCTGATAACTTCTTATTTCGGGCATAAAATCTTGCAAAATCAACCCATTACTATGAGGGTTTTATAATAAATGGTCCTCTTATGTTTACGGTGCACTTGAAGAGGATGTCTCCTATTAATTCCGGCATAAGCATTTGGAGTTCTGTCTTAACTTTCAAATGATAAAATTAACTCGTCGTTTAGACAAGAAACAAGATAAAAATAAAAGGACTTTATTTTATTCCTTCTAACTTTAAAAGTACACAAGCATTCATTTTCTAAAGGAAAAAAGAAGCTGCCAATACATGTGGCTAACTTGTACAACTTATTTCTACGAGGCTGGCCATGCAGTCCCCGATCCTGATGAGACATTATTGTTCCCGATTCTCGCAGTCCCTGATATTTTTAGCAATTTTGTTGCCGCATCTTATACTATTCCCCCTAGTGTTCGAATGCGAAATATGCAAATTGGAGCACTGGAAGTCTTGCTTTGTTGGTTGAAACACTTGTAAACGGTCAAATAATCTTTGGTTCAATGGAAAGCTTTGCTTCCCATTTGGAACTTTCCATCGACCTAAAGATTATTTAACCATCCCATAGTGGTTTATCATTTCAATGCCTTGTTATTTAAAGGACTTATCCTTTCCGATGGCGATCTTTTTGTAGTATGCTTTCCACAACTGCCTAGTTAAAAATCTTGCTAGAAATACCCGATTAAGATTAAAACTGGTCAAAGAAAAAAAGAGTACAACACATACTTTCAGTATTGGTAGGATCCATCAGCAGCAATACCTTTTCAGATGAGTCACGTTCCAATGGCTGGGCAATTTGACCCCATCTTGATATTCCAACTCGTACGATCCTTTATCGGTGATAGCTGAAACCGGTAGGGACCTTCTCACGTCGGACCCAGCTTCCCAGTGTTGGCTTCCTGAGTGCTCTGAGTCACCTTCCTCAAAACCAAGTCTCCTACTTTGAAGTAGCAAAGATTGGCCCTCCGATTATAGTATCTCTCCATCCTTTGCTTTTGAGCCACCATCCTCATGTATGCCTAGTCCCTGCATTCATCGAGAAAATCTAACTTCACCAGCAATGACTCATTATTTGTTTCTTTGTTTGCTCGGGAAAACCGTATGGTTGGTTCCCCTACTTCCACTAGGATTATAGCTGTCACGCCATATACGAGAGAGAAATGTGTCTATCCCGTGCTCGACCTCGCCATCGTCTGATATGCCCATAGCACGCCTGATAATTCTTCGGGCCATTTGCCTTTAGCCGATTCTAACCTCATTTTGAGGTTTTGGATAATCACCTTATTGGTTGACTCCGCATGTCCATTAGCGCTCGAATGGTATGGTGAGGATGTAATACTCATGATTTTCAAATATTGGTTAAACTTTGTGACTTTGGAGCCTATGATTTGTGGTCCGTTGTCGCAGGCGATTTCCTTCGATATTCTGAATCGGCAGATTATGTGGTCCCATAGGAAGTCGACCACTTCACGCTCACCGATCTTTTTGTAAGGACCTGATTCAACCCATTTAGTAAAGTAATCAGTTAAAATTAAAAGGAATCTTACCTTTCCGGGACCTGGTGGCAGCGGAACAACTATATCCATCCCCCATCTCAAGACTGCCCATGGGGATAGAACCGAATGCAAGCATTCTGTCGGTTGGTGTACCAACTTTGCATAGAGCTGGCATCTATCATATTTCTGAACGAACGTCTTTGCGTGTTGTTCCATTCGGGACCAATAGTACCTTCCTTAACTAGCTTTAGTACCAACAAATCTGCATTGGGCTGGTTCCCACAAGTTTCTTCATGGATCTCTCCCATCACGTAGTCCGCCTCCGAGGCTCCTAAACATCTGGCCAATTGGCCTTGGTACGATCTCTTATATAATTGCCCATCCATGAGGCAGTAATGAGCTGCCTTGGTGCGTAATGCACGGGACACCTTCGGGTCTTCAGGCAATTTGCCATGCCGAAGATATTCGATGAACTCATTCCTTCAGTCCCAGACTAGGCTGGTTGAATTGACTTCACATTAACCATCCACATCCGATACCGAAAGTAAAAGTTGAACAACAGTACCGGAGTCAAATCCTTTCATCTATGTAGACGACCTCAAATTAGCCAATGCATTTGCTTCCACGTTCTCTTCTCTTGGAATGTGTGTGATTGACCACTCCCTGAATCATGCAAGAAATGCCTAAACTATTCTCACAAAATGTTGCATGCGTTCCTCCTTTATGTCAAAAATCCCGTACACTTGGTTTACTACTAGCTGTGAATCACATTTGATCTCTATGACCTCGGAGCCAAGTCCCCGGGCCAGTTCGAGTCCTTTAACCAAAGCCTCATACTCGGCTTCATTGTTAGTTAATGGAACCATCTTAAGGCCTGACTCAGGATTTCCTCCAAGGGCGTGATTAAAACCACCCCGAGCTCGGACCCTTTTACATTGAAAGCTCTATCCGTAAACAAGGTCCAAACTCCTGATGTTGTTCCGACACCAGTACTACCTCTTTATAAGCTAGGGGCATTAACCTGGGACTGAAATCGGCCACAAAGTTGGCCAAAACTTGTGATTTCATCGCAGTCCTAGGCTTGTATTCAATATCAAACTCACTGATTTCGATTGCCCATTTAGCCAACCGTCCTGACAACTCAGGATTGTGAAGAACATTCCTCAAGGGGAAGTTTGTCACAACGACTATCGGGTAACACTGCAAATTAGGCTTAAGCTTTCGGGAGGCGACTACTAGAGCTAAGGCCAGCTTTTCAAGGTGCGGATAGTGAGTCTCCGCTCCTGAAAATATTTTACTGACGTAATAGATAGGAAACTGCTTACCTTCATCCTCTCGGACTAAGATGGCACTCACCGCTACTTCTGAGACCGTACTGCTACTTTTGAGACCACTAGATATATCATCTTTTGTTCACCTTCCCCCGATTTTGATAATACCGGGGGGCTTGATAGGTAGTGTTTCAAGTCTTTCAAGGTTTGCTAACACTCCGTAGTCCATTCGAAATTGTTCTTCTTCTTCAGAAGTGATGACATTTTTTTGAGGATCGAGAGATGAACCTTCTTACAGCGGCAAATCTTTCGGTTAGCCTCTGTACGTCTTTTACACTAGTTAGTTGTCCCGGGATGTCTTTGATGGCTTTTATTTTATCGGGATTTACTTCGATCCCTCTCTGTGAGACCAGGAACGCCAATAACTTATCAGAGCCAACCCTGAATGCACATTTCTCTAGGCTGAGCTTCACGTTATGCTTCCTCAAGATGTCGAAGGTTTCTTGGAGGTGTTTCAAATGATCATCTGCATTCAAAGACTTGACTAACATGTCATCGATATACACATCCATTGTTTTGCCTATTTACTTCTCGAAAATCATGTTCACAAGCCTCTAGTAAGTGGCTCAAGCGTTTTTAAGCCCGAATGACATCACATTATAACAATATGTACCGAAGTTCGTTATGAACGAAGTTTTTTTCTGATCCTCCAGGTTCATCTTGATTTGATTGTACCCGGAGTAGGCATCAAGGAAAACTATATTATAGTCTACGCACATTCTAAACTTGTTACTCTTCTTTGGAACTACAACTATATTATCTAACCATTCTGGATACTTACCTCCCGGATTGAACCGATTTTGAGTAGTTGAGTTACCTCTTCTATAATAAATATGTTCCTAACCTCGGATATTGGGAGTTTCTTTTTCCTTAACTATGGGAAGTTCGGGTCCAAGCTTAGTTTGTGCTTGGCCATCTCTAATGGGATACCTGTCATATACGAGTGCGACCATGCAAAACAATCAACGTTAGCTTTAATATAATCAATAAATCCTGACATGAGTTTGGGATAGGGTCCTGTTCCCAAGTGAAACTTCGTTTCTAAGAATTCTTCAAACGAAGACATTGCTCGAGTTCTTCTGCAGTGGACTTGGTTACATCTGTCTCCTCCGGTACCTGTAAGTATCTCGATACCTGGTGGGAATCCAACAACTCCTCGCCTTTATTATCTTCATCGGTTAAGGGAGAAGGCGTCAGTTCCGGTAATTGCTATTTGATGGGCTCCTTCCCTTGCTGCTAGAAATAGACATTGCATTTATCTCTCTTGCTTACGGTTGATCTCCTCTTATCTACTTGATTCCTTTCAGGGTCGGGAATTTCAACAGTTGATGATATGTTGAGGGCACAACCTTTATCTCATGTATCCACGACCTTCTGAGGATTATGTTGTAGCCCATGTCACCGTCTACCACTTCAAATAAGGTGTTCTTGGTTACCCCTTCGACATTTGTGGGCAGCAGGATCTCTCCTCAGGTTGTCACACTTGCCAAGTTCAAGCCGACAAGGAGTTTTGTTGGCAGAATGATACTTTCGGTTAACTTAGCTTGCTTCATTACTCTCTATTGAATGATTTTGGCTGAGCTTCCTGTGATAACCAAAACACGCTAAATCTTAAAATCTAAGACATTGAGAGAAATTACCAGAGCATCGTTATGTGACATAAGAAGTCCGTCGGTGTCTTCCTCGGTGAAGGTGATGTCGTTTTCTGCGACTTCCCGAAGTCTCTTATTGTGGGTCACTGATATCTTTGTTTTCTTAGCCGCTGAGAAGGTTATGGCATTGATTTCATTCCCTCTGAAAATCATGTTGATAGTCAACCGAGGAGGGTCTTCTGCAATCTTTGAAGGCTCCGCATTATCCCAGCTACAACCTTAATTGTTCTTGGCTCGGTTGCTCAAGAACTCCCTAATATGGCCATTCTTCAAAATCGTCACCACCTCTTTACGCAGATGTTGGCAGTCCCTAGTTCTGTGGCCGTGAGTCCCATGATATTCGCACCATAAGTTACGATCCCTCTGGCTGGGATCAGATATGATTCGCTTCGGGAATCGTGCTTCTTTGATATTCCTCATCACCGATACCAACTCCACTATGCTAATGTTGAAATTGTAATCTGACAACCTGGGATATGTGGAATCCCAGGCCCCCGGTACCTGTTTTTCTTGTAATGATCTATTTTTCTGGACACGGTCAATTCTTCTGTCGGGAATGAACCTATCTGAGGATCGGAATGCTTTGCTGCGTTGTCCTTCGGTTCTCTCGTATGGCAATAAACGACCTTTAGAATATCGCCGGTCCGCGTCGAAATCACCTTTGAACTTATCTTGGTTCTTGTCTTGGTCTCGTCCCTTGGTTGATGTCGGGAACCCGAGCTGACCTTCTTCTATTCTTATTTTTAACTCATAACAGTTATGAACATCCGCCCATATAATCGCTTGGAATTCGAAAAAGATTTCCTTTAGTTTTCCGGAGGCGTCGGAGCTCCTCGGATTCAAACCCTTTGTGAACGCCTCTACTGCCCACTCGTCTGGTACGACCAGTAGCAGCATCCTCTCTTTTTGGAATTTGATCACGAATTCCTGCAATAATTTGGACTCACCTTGTACGATCTTGAATATGTCTGCCTTCCTGGTTTGGACCTTTCTGGCCCTGGCATGGGCCTTAATGAAAGAATCTGCTAGCATTTTAAAATAGTCAATTGAATGCTCGGGTAAGAGTGCATACCATGTCAGGGCCCCATTTGTGAGGGTTTCTCCAAACTTTTTAGTCGAACCGATTTGATCTCATGTTGAGCCAAATTATTCCCTTTCACATCCATGGTATAAGTCATGATGTGCTCATGTGGGTCCGAAGTCCCATTATATTTTGGAATTTCGGGCATCTTGGACCTCTTGAGAATTTACTTTGGGGCTTCACTCGATTTAAGCAGCAACTGAGTGTATTTTTTTGAATTTGGGCCCTTCAAAGCTGGTGGTGCGCCTGGAATCTAGTCCATTCGGGCATGAAACTCCTTTGCATTTTGATGTATCCGTTCGTTTCCCTCATAAATCTCACGAGCTCAGTTTTGAAGGGATCACTGTTGTTATCATTACTATATCTGCTATCGATTCCATGGGCACCATCGAAATCGACCTCACCCCTCGGGGTATTGTTATCAACTCTTAGAGCTATTTGATTTGAAGGAACCCCGAGAGGAATCGAGCCTCTTCTGTTTGGTTGTTGGAAGCACATGACAACGCTTGCTTCAACTCCGTCATCACCTGATTCTTACTGTTTTCGCAACGTGTTCCTCTTCCTCATCATCGGCAGTTGGCTTCCGTACATGCTGGGAGTATTGTCCTTCACGAACCGAGGTTGCCTCGTCCCCTTCATTACAGGTGTCGCTGATTGAATTCTCATGTTGAGGCAAATTTTCCTGTCCCTCAACATTGTGTGCAATGTTTACATTATTAGCTACCATTTTTGATTTCTTACTAAGGAAAAAATCAAAAAATTTAGTAACAAATGCAAGGATCAACTCAATTACGTAACTGTCTAAGCCCCACGGTGGGCGACAAACTGTTTACCCGTAAAATGGTACAGCTGAATTCTTTATGTGGTTTATAGACAAGCAAACTGATTTGATCCAAAAATGGTAAATAAACATGATTAGAAGTATGATTTAGCAATTAAAATTGAAGAAGATGACTAGTATGGCTCCAAGGACAACGTCTCTGAGGACAAAAAGTAGAACAATATAAGAGAGCAAATAAAGTTGTTTTAATTGAGAGTGAGAGTAGAATAAATCATAAGTTTTGCAAAGAATTTCGTGTGTTACAATGGATGCTAAGCTTGCTATTTATAGCTAAACCTAGGGAAACAAGATCCTAGGATGAAACCCCACTTAAATGATAATAAAATAGCCATTGATAAACATGTAATGGCAGGCCATGAATGCAAATATTCTCTACAACGACTATCCATTTAATGCGAGGGAATATTCTTCATCGAATGCTATCCGATGGCAAATATTCGATCTACTCACATTGACCATGCTCCTTTTAGGGTCTGTCCGATGTCAATTACAGTTGTTGTTCCCGGTACTGGTTGTTACTTGATTCGCTTTTTATCTGTCTTCACTTCCACGTGTCATGCTATCATTTGATCATTAATTATAAATCAATTCTACCCTATACACTAGGATCGTTCAGTATTTGATTTTTATTCAAAGTTTCAGGGTTCGGGTTGTATTTGTTTTCATGCCATAGTTGCTTAGTGGATTGGCACTTGCTGTATGTTTGACCTTAGATACTATTCTCTTGTACAATTCATTTCAGGATCCTGTATAGGGTAAAATATGCTATGCTAAGTAATTATATAAGAGAATGACACGCGGAGCTGGAGGCAGAAGATAGACAAAACCGAAGGCAATTGTTCCGTCTGTTACCGAGAAGAATGATACTCATTAAGATGAAATAAATGCCTGCCACCCGGTAGAATTTAGTGAAGAATATTCCACAACATTTAATACACTGCCCGTTACGAAAGAATATGGCATTCATGCCCGCCGTTGCACATTCTTCAATGGACCTCATAATTGTCATTGAAGAGGGGTTTGATCCCAGGACCTTATTCCCTAGGTGTAGCTATAAATTGTAAGCTCTATTATCATTGTAGAAGGAGCTCTATGAAAAAAATTATGCTATAATCTATTCGAATCTTTATACAATTTTATCTCCTGGCTTTTTGATTTCATTACTGTTGTGTCCGAAAGTCTTGCTCCCGAAACTATTATTTCTGCTATTTCATCTTCATCTCAAGGCTAAGTATTTCGTATTTGTTCAATTCTTTTATTATTTCAGGATTAAATTAATTTACTTGTCTAGAAACTACGTATAAATTCAATTGTACCATTTTACCGGTAAACAGTTTGGCACCCACAATGGGGCCTAGACAGTCGTGTAATTAAGTTAGTCCTTGCATCTTTTACTAACGTATTTTGATTATTTGTCCTTAGCAAAAAATCACAGAAAATGACAGATAATGGTGTTAACAACACACACAATCTTTAGGTGCAAGGAGACCAGCCTCAGCGCGAGGATTCAATCAGCGATACTCGCAACTAGGGGAGTGATGCTACGCCGATCCATGACAGACGGTACCCGCATTATGTTCAGGAGGTGACCCCTTATGATGTTGAAGAGAAGCATGTTGTTGAAGCGGAAAGGGTCCTGCAAGAGCAACAAGAGGCCATTCTAGGCCACCTCACACGGCAGGATAATATTATGACAAAACTAAAGCATGCGTTGTCGGGTTCTTCCAATAACAAGAATGGACGAGGTCTAGTTCCTCCCGGTGCTCCCACAAATCAAACAACGTAGAGGGTCGACAACAACACCCCGAGGGGTGAGGTCGGCTTTGATGAGGAAGGGGGGAGCAGGTCTGGTAACAACAACAAGAATGATCCCTTCAAAAGTGAACTCCTATGCTTTATGAGGGAAGTGAACGCCCGCATGGACCAAATCTCGAGCGC